CCAGCCCTGCGGTGTCTGTTTTGAGATAGGGTGACCAGAACTCACAGCATTCCGAATGAGGCGACGCCATATTGGCTGCGGGCCGCTGGGATGACACTTCCGTTGAGCTCCCCGCTAGGACCCCCCCCCCCCCCCCCCCCCTGGCTCAGCAGGTTCAGCCGCCATGGGCCCAGGCTTGAAGTTGGGATTCTTTTGTCCCAGGGTGCATCGCCACACACTTAACAACATTGGATTTTGTTTACCACATGGCTGCCCACTCATCCAGTGAGCGAAGATCCTCTCAGAAATCTTCGCAGTCAGCCTTGGTTTACACCATCATGAATTATTTTGTGTCACCAGCAGATTTGGCCACTCTACTACTCACCCTTCGTTCCGGAGCATTTATGAATAAGTTGAATAGCAGCGGCCCCAATACCGATCCTTGTGGGACCCCGCTGCTGACTTCCCTGCACTGTGAGAACTGTCCATTGATTCCCACTCTTTGCTTCCTGTCATTTCACCAGTTTTTCATCCATAAAAGAACTCACCCTCTTATTCCATGACTACCACGTTTTCTCGGGAGTCTTTGGCAAAGTACCTGGTCAAAAGCCTTTTGAAAGTCCAAGCATATGATGTCTACTGGGGGTCACCGTTGTCTACATGCTTGTTCACTTTCCCAAAGAACTCCAAAAGGTTGGTGAGGCAGGACTTCCTTTTCCAGAAGACATCCTCATTTTCCCTCAGCCCGTCTAAGTCCTTTATCCTTATACATACATCTCCAAAATGTCAGTATAACAAATAAACAAAATAGCAATAGAGAGCCAGTTTGGTGTCGTGGTTAAGTGCGCGGACTCTAATCTGGGAGAACCGGGTTTGATTCCCCACGCCTCCTCCACTCGCACCTGGCTGGATGACCTTGGGCAAGCCGTAGTTCTGATAAGAGCTGTTCTTGGAAAAAAAGAGCAGTTTCTGTCAGAGCTCTCTCAGCCCCACCGACCTCAGGGGGTGTCTGTTGTGGGGAGGGGAAGGGAAAGGAGTTTGTAAGCCGCTCTGAGACACCTTTGGGTAGTGAAGGGCAGGGTATAAATCCAGTCTCCTCCTCCTCCTCTTGTTCTTCTTCCTCCACTTGCACCTGCTGGATGACCTTGGGCAAGCCATAGTTCTGTCAGAGCTGTCCGTGAAAAAGAGCCATTTCTGTCAGAGCTCTCTCAGCCCCACCCACCTTACAGGAGGGTGTCTGTTGTGGGGAGGGGAAGGGAAAGGAGTCTGTAAGCCACTCTGAGACTCCTTTGGGGAGTGAAGGGCCATGGGGTATGAATCCAATCTCCTCCTCCTCCTCCTCCAATTGCAGCAACTCATATAACAATAATCAACTATGAAAGTATTAAAATACGGTAACTTTTAAACGTGGCTAAACAAACATGTTTAATCAAGTTCTTGCAATACTAATGCTCTGTTGTTAAATAACAAATGTTGAGCATACTTTTTCATTATAACCTTGAGCTCTTTGATTCTTGTACTTTCAAAAACAAACTAGGTCTCGATAATATGGATTTTCAGGGATTGTTTCCCTTACTGTTAAATATTCCACTACAGGGAACCAGGAGGCTCGGAATGTGTCTAAGAATTCGATCTTTGATTACTGTTTCTGCTACTTTGCCTGGGACAGATCTTAGGCTGATGGGCCTGTACGTTCCTGGTTCCCCTCTGGATCCCTTTTTAAAAATTGGTGTCACCTTTGCTACTCTCCAGTCTTCTGGTACTGTGGCTGAATTTAATGATAGGTTACATAGACAGGTCAGTGGATCCGATAGGTCACATTTTAGTTCCCTAAGAACTCTTCGGTGTATGCCATCAGGACCTGGAGACTTTTCTGTATTTAATTTCACCAGTAGGTCTAGAACTTCATCTTTGGTCACCTCAATTTGGCCCAGTTCTTCAGACGCCCTTCCTGAAAATAGGGGCCATGACATGGGTACACACCCCACACTTTCCACAGTGAACACAGAAGCAAAAAATTCATTGAGCTTCTCTGTCATCCCCCTGTCTTTGAAGGGTCAAAGTTAATGCTGTCTCCTCTGCTGCCTGGCAGAGGCTGCCTGAGGTTTCAGACAGAGGTCCTTCTTGTCCCCTAAGAGAGCCAGCTTGGTGTGGTGGTTAGGAGCATGGACTCTAATGTGGGAGAACCGGGCTTGATTCCCCACTCCTCCACATCGCAAGTTCTCTCAGAGCTGTTCTCTCAAGGGCAGTTTTCTCAGAGCTCTCTCAGCCCCACCTACCTCACACGATGTCTACTGTGGGGAGGGGATAGGGAACTGCTCTGAGACTCCTTCGGGTAGTGAAGGGTGGGGTATAAATCCAATCTCCTCCTCCTTGTAGTCCCTGTTTATTTAATCTGGGAGGGGGGGTCGTTGAACCTCGGATCTTCCGCACGTGATGGCAACACTCTGCCGCTGAGCCAGGGCCCCTCCTCAGAGCACCGGGAGCTGAATCCCGAAGGTGGTGGTGGACACCGCTTGTCCAGGGGGGCCCTGGCCCTCAGCAGCGTCCATCGGCCTCCCTCCTCCTGCCACGCTCAGGAGTCGCTGCATGGAGCCCTTTTCAGGGCCAGGTGATGCCTGATCCTCGGCTTCTGCTCTTGGCTCTCCTTGGGGGGGGGTGTTGGGCGGGGGGGGTAGATCAGGGACCGCAGCTGGGGAAACCCAACAGCTTTCAGGGCCTTTTCTCCCCCTGTGGTAGAAGCAACGGGGAGTTCAAGGTGGGCACAGTGCAGTGCCCACGGCCCTGATCCAGCCAGTGCTCTCTCCTCCCATAGCTGCTTAGCTGTGCCGGTATAATTTGTTTCGTTAACGTGCCACGTTGGGGTGGCAGCAGTGGCCCTTCTTGGGAGGGGTGGTTGAGCCCTCCCCTGCGTGCGCTGTGTTGATCAATATCTCCCTGAAGCACCTGGGAGGAAAATGCGCTACTCTGTGCTCCGTGGGGGCAGGGCCGGGCCTGGAAGACCGGAGGCAGGGCTTTGAAATCCAGCGGCTCTGCTGCAGTCAGACAAGCAGCCGCCTGTCATTCCCAGGGAAGAGGCCAGGAGGCTGGGCCATGGAACTCCAGCAGGAAAACACGGAGTGCGGGGAGAGGACCCTGGGAAGTTTTAATGTCTGGCAAGGGTGCAGAGAAACACACACACACACACACACGAAGTGAGCTGGGAATGCCGTGTGGTGTGGTGTGGTTGCGTATGTGCTGCTTTTTCAGCCTCTGAGCCTTTGCTGGGGTGAATGAAGCCAGAGGGACTTTTTTGACAATTCCCTTCTTCAGCTGTGGGCCACATCAAATGCTCCCCATATTCTGAACAAATTTCTCTGTCTCTCCTGCTGTTTATTATTCTTAATTTCAGATTGTACATTTTACCACTTGGATGTTCTGCCAGGTTTCATATTTTGTGCCAAAAATCACCACTAAATTCTTCAGATGATCAAATTTACAAATTCCAGTTTTCCCGTCAAAGTACCGGCTGGTGGACCTCCTGGTGGCACCTGGGTGTGACACAGATTGTTCAACTGCATGGGCCATTGGCCTGTTCCAGCATGGCTTCCGTTATATTCAGCCAGTTTGGTGTAGTGGTTAAGTGCGCGGACTCTAATCTGGGAGAACCGGGTTCGATTCCCCACTCCACATGCACCTGGCTGGATGACCTTGGGCAAGCCGTAGTTCTGATAAGAGCTGTCCTTGAAAAAGAGCCGTTTCTGTCAAGAGCTCTCTTTCAGTCCCACCTGCCTTCCAGGGTGTCTGTTGTGGGGAGAGGAAGGGAAAGGAGTTTGGAAGCCCCTCTGAGACTCCTTCAGGTACTGAAGGGCAGGGTATAAATCCAGTCTCCTCTTCTTCTTCTTTGCGTTGAACAGACTTGAAATAAAGGGCTGTTGCTGTCTGCGTCCTGGTTAGGAGCTCCCCATGCCCCCGCCTTGCCCCCTTCCGATGTCGCCCGTGGGCCGGCCAGGAGGTCAGTGGCGGCACAGCTGCTGGGCCTCCTCCCGCTCCCAGCACAGGGCTGGCCTGGCTGCTAAGAGCTCCTCTCAGCTGGCCCTGAGCGGCTCAGGCAAAAGGAGAGTCTGGCTTGTCAGGGCTGGTCTGGGAAGTCGCTGGAGCTCCCTCTGTGAACACATCCATGCATTCCTCTTAAAATATTTATATGCCTCTTTCTCTCAAGCAGTTCAGGACCCAAGATGGGTAGCAGCAGTGTACAACCAATTAGATGTTAAAGATTAACGTTGAAATGGCCAATATAGCCGGAGCGTGCCTGTGCCACACCCGCAGTCACTCCATTGGTTGCCGAGTTCAGTGCAAGCCCCCAGTTACCAGCCACAGGGCCCTTGGCCCCCTCCTGTCTGCAGGGCCCCCATCTGAGCAAAGCCTTGGGGGGGGGGCCACTGCCCCCTCCGTGCGCCTGACGGTCGTTCTGCAGGGCATGTGAAGCAGACATGCTCCGGAGGAGGACATCTTAGTCCAGGGATCCGGGCTGCCCGTGTGTCACGGTGCCGTCGGGGAGGAAGGGAAGAGGACTGTGGTCTGTTGCTGTGTTTGCTCAGTGTGCCGCCTTGTTTTTACTGCACTGACTCAGATGTTTACTTAAAATGTGTAAAAGTTGTCCTCATTCTCACTACTTTTTATTGGGGGGGGGAGTCAGAAATAGTGGTCCACCTTTTTCGTACACCTTGAACGACCTTTGAACTAGACCTTCACTCCTGTATCTAATTGGGCCTTCTTGCCATTTTCAGGTGCTTCTCGCACCTGGGCCCAGACACATTCTGTTTGTGATGTTTGTGAACCTGTTTCTAATCTGTTGCCCCCTCCGAGGCTGTTCTGTTTTGCGTTTCGGGACTCTCTCGTCTTTGGCGCGTCCAGCTGACGGGCCGACCCAGCCCTGGGTCCCATGTGCAGCAGAAGTGCTCTGCAGGCTCTCCTCGCTCCGGCTCTGGCCACATCTGTGACCGCCTGCCTGTCCTGTCCTGTCCTGTCCCGTCCCGTAGGCACTGCTGGCCTCCCCCCCTTCCAGGAGCAGGCCTTCCGATACGTCTCCTTCACGCCCACATCGTACTTCCTGGGGTGGGCCGGTGGTTGCTTTTAGACTGCTCATGGATCTCGGAGAACTTGACTTCTTCTCCAGGACGGCTCAGGAAGCTCAAGCGAAGGCCTGTGTCAAGACGCTCCTTGACCCTGGAGGACCCTTCCAACTCGATGATTCTATGAAGTCCAGATATTTATGACGTTCGTTTACAAAATCCATATCCTGCTTTTCTGCCCTTACAAGGGCCACCGTTCTTTTAACGGGGTTACCTTATGACACCATTAAACTCCTCTCCCAAACATATCTCACTAAAACAAGTTTTGAAAGAGTTTAAAAACAGACTCAAAATTCCTATAAAATAGTTAAAAGTGCGTGAAAAGCATGAAACACATTGGTCAGGGGAAAGGGACCAGTGCGGGCATGTGCTGAGCGAAGCGAAGAAGAAGAAGTCTCCACCCACATGGCCCCGTCCCACCTGGCCGCTGCATCGGTTATTCTGCTCTGGAGCCCCCTCCTTCCTGAGCGGAGACAGAAACGGGTGAGCCGGAGGCTAAAAAAACTGTGAGCTGGCTCACACTAACTCAGCTTGGAGGGAACACTGCTCAGCAGCCTCCCTGGACGAGAGGCGAGGCCTCACTGCGGGGTGGGGGGAGCCCTCCGTGGAGGGCTGGCTGTTCCTCCCTCTGGACGGATGCAGGAGTGGTGCTGCTGCTCGTCTCCCTTCCCAGCATGGCTGCCCACTCCTCTGTGTCTGTGTGTGTGTGTGTGCGCGTGTGCGCGTGTGCGCGTGTGCAGAGACAGCTGCTGGGTGGCTCCGTGTGTCAGGGACTGGGGGGGGGGAGCCTTGGGGGCATGGGGCCTGCAGGGCAGAAACCTGGCTAGCAGCAAGGGGGGAGGGAAGTGGCCTTGCTGCCCCCGTCCAGTCGAGGCCTGCCTCCGAGGCCCCGAGGTTCTTGGGAGGCCTGCAGCTCAGAGCTGGCTGCAGCCCCCGCGTGGGCGATTCGTGCCAGGGAAGGAGCCGCCCCCTCTTTCCTGTAACTGGAGCTGCCCGTAGAGGCCCTCTGTTTCCAGTTAGGCAGCCAGGCAGGCAGAAGAAGGTGCTGGAATCCAGGAACCTGCACATTCTTTCGGCACAACCGCAAACCCAAACATGTTTTTGTGCCGTCGGTGGGGCTCCCCCCGCAGCTCATGCCCAGCGCTGCATCCTGCAAGGGCCCCCCCCCTCTCACTAGCCCCACAGGGGTGAAGCCCCCTTGCCAGAGAGGCCTTTGTGGAGTTTGGTGAGAGGCGGGGGTCCCCCTCCCCACCCCGTCAACGTGAGTCCAGGCGGTGGCTTGGGGTGCGGAGGGGAGGGGAGCAGCTGGGACTCCTCTGCCGTCCTCCTCCTCACAGGGAACAGTCAGCCCGAGACCTTCCCAGCATTTTAGGGTCTGGGGGGGGGGCGGGAGTCTTCCCCGTTAGGGGAGGGGGTGCTGCCCCCAAGCGCAGGGCTTGTTGCTGGCAGTCTCTGGTGGAGGGGTCTGCCTTCTCAGGGCCGGGGGCTCTCACGACCCGGTCGTCAGTCCTGGGCGCTGGGAGCGATCCTGCGTGGCCTTTGGAGCGAGAAGCCACGGCCTGAGCCCGCCCTCGGGAGAAGGCGCCCAGCGCTGGCCAGGAGCAGTGAGGAGAAGGAGGCCGTGCAGATCCACGTTTCCTCCCAGGAGGAGGGTGTGGCCACCCTGAGGCCTGAGAACCAGCGTGGGGTGGTGGCGGCGGGGGTGGTGGTTAAGAGTGCGCTGGACAAGGGTCAGGTTTGCATCCCCACCACTCTGCCACGGAAACCTGCTGGGTGACCTGGGAACAGCCACACACCCTCCGCTCGACCTACCTCGCAGGGCTGTTTGGAGGGAGGAGTAGGAGAGAACAGTCTTGTAAGCCGCTTTGGGTCCCGTTGGGGAGAAAAGCAGAACTAAATAAAGCTGTGGGGTCTGCTGGGTGGGCCAGTTTTCCTTGCCAGCTTCTTGGTTTCAGTTCTGTAGAACCAGAACCATCAGGCTGCTTTGTGGCTGACTTAACCCCCCCCCAAACAAGGAGCCCCTTCTGCAGGCCTGGGGGGGCGGGGGGGCTGCTGCCCCCCCCCCCGACAGGACAGCCACGCAGCGCTGGCTGCTTATGAATTACGATGCACATGTCCCGCCTTCCCTCTTGGCTCAAGCAGCTATTAAGCCATTCAGAAGACCACCAAAGGAAATGGAAGCCTCAGGCCCTCCCCCTCGGCCCTCGATGCCTGATGCTCAGACTCCACCAGCAAGCCAGCCTTGCAGGGTCCTACTGTAGCACGGAGAAAGGGGCCTAA